AAGGGAAAGGGGGGGAGAAAGGGAAAGGGGGGGAGAAAGGGAAAGGGGGGGAGAAAGGGAAAGGGGGGGAGAAAGGGAAAGGGGGGGAGAAAGGGAAAGGGTAATGAAAATCCTATGCTAAACAGTTAAATCAGAAGATGGTGCATTTCCTACTCCAGCTCCCACAACTCGGAAAAAGACAGATAGACAGACAGAAGTCTTAAATGATTCTGTTTAGAAAGGAATTAGACCTTAGGACTTCAGACTATTAAAGTTACCTGAATTTATTAACCTAATATTTGCCCAAGTATTGCACAACATGTTCACCTCAAAATTCATAAAGGAAATCCCAGAATTACAATAACCTCTTGTTCAATATCAACATGTCTGGGAAATACTAATAAAAACAATGCTAAGAAACACGTTGCCTTCCCCAAGCATTGAATAAAAACAAAAGCCTAACATCAGCACTCACTCTGGACTTTCCATAAATCAAAYTGCATGACAAGGGACCTCCTTTCATATATTTAAGAGCAATTAGAACAGCTGAAGCATTTCCATCATTCCTACGATGCTCAGAGGATTGATAGCAGCACTTACCTCATACTAAACATCTTTTAARTATCCAATTATTTAAGACAGCTTCCTAAACAGTGCTGCACCCAAAGCTAGAGAAATTTGTAGCAGATCTCTGCATGCAAAGCGATGACCCCATCTCTATGAATAACACAGTGGTAGCTTAAGAGCAAAGGATCTGAACGTAATAGAATTTATAACGTACAAACATAACAGAGGCTAAGTGAGTATTATACACATGCTTGATACTTCATAGAAGCATTTTTCGAATGCTGAGAACAATTATGAGCCATGTCAAATAAAAATAATGACCAAAAGAAGCAAATAAAATAATGATCACTAAGAGAACTCATCGAGCGCAATCATGAAAATATCACACTGCCTTTCGAATGCCAAAATCCCCCCAGAATGGATTGATACTTCATATAAAGTGTATAAACCCAASACAAAACACAAATTAACCAAAAATATTAAATAGCTTCACATGTTTTCTCAAGATTCATAGGACCAATAACTTATGTCCAAAAATACACAAAGACGCCTCCTTTGAAGACTGGGGATGGAGTTTCAGAAATTCCTGCAATGGAATGATCTGAACATAGGAACTTGCTTTTTCACCTTTACTGATTAATAATGGACTATCACTTCTTCTTTGATATTGAGACATAKACAAAAGTAGATGAAAGTCACCTCTACTGATATACTCTTTGTAAAGCACACAAGATCTTTTTGCCTTCTACTAATTTCATGGCTTCTATTATGTTTTATTATTATTGATTATACAGCAGAGTCCCCTACATAGTTTAATTATTTTTCTGTTCATAACCAATCAGGTTTTTAATAGTCTTCAATTCCCAAGAAGTGAGAACTTCTATTTTTGTATTCATAAGCATTTATACCAATAAGATGCTGAATAAACTAAAAGCCATTACATTTTTATATATATAAATACATAAAAGCAGACTGATTACTGTAACATAAATCTTACTTTTCTAATTCTTCGGGATTAAACTTCCACCAGGTATCTGGCTCACGGAACTCCACTCTGTATCCCTTTTCTAGCGCCTGCAGCAAGTAAAGACAAACGTCTGATATGTGTATCTTTAATATATTACACTGGTATAGCAGTGACTATAATAAGATGCTTACTAACCACTCTAATAAACATATGCAGTTAATTCTACAGTGGTAACATGATGAATTTCACTTACCCTAAAACCTGTGAAGGTTTTCATGTCACGTTAGGCAAATTAGGTCTAGTTACTCCTCATATCAGTCTGGATTATTGCTGTTCAGTTACTGATTGTATCAGAAAGCAGTCTTTAGAGATTTTAGTACAGAAAATGGTTCTGAACAAAGGAGGCCAGCTTCTCTCAGGTGAAGGTGTAAGGTAATATAATTACTGACAAAACCTACCGTTTCCACATAAGGTTTCATTTCCCAGGCTTGAGTATTAGTGTTGTCTATTATAATTGGAGACTTCCCCTCCTCCATCGCTTGCTTTGCTGCAATGTAAAATGGTGAGAGCTAATAAACAATTAGACAAGTCAAATAAAATGGCGAACTCAAGCACAATATTCTAGAGATTTTCTACACTTATTTGGTCTAACTTGAATACAAAGCGTTCTAAGAAAAGGATTCAAAGTATAAGGTATACAGAGCAGTGAAAAGAAGGGAAAAAAAAGAAAAAAGAAAAAAAAATGAAGGGACATAAAAATGAGGTAATAGTGAACTGAAACAAAGGGGTAAACAGGAAATGTAAAAGTCAAAAACAACATAGGAGATCTGCTCAAAGATTGATGCCCACTAAGTATCAGAATTGAGATTTGCACATGAAACCCTATCCTGAGTCCAGTTTTACCAYTGGGCAGGTACAAATGGGTCTTGTGTTCAGATACTGAGTTCTTCTTCAATAAACTGCAAATAGGTGATCACAGAAAGGTATCACATTTCTGAGATCTTGGATAGAGTCATTATTAAATAATACATACACACACAAACATGCACACACATGCACACACACACGCACAATGTAGTCGTCTCTGCTTAAATCACTGCTCAATTTCAGTCAAATCCAAAGGAGGAAGAAGGCAGAAACCTCAGGAATAAGAAGCTGCTTCTAACATCTATGAAAGCACCGCTAGGAAGAAGACACATCCAAATTACCCCCAACCCTGAGATGCAGCCGTGGAACTGTCTGCTTAGCTGGATTTTTAAACACTGGTATGCTTCTAATACAGGACTAGCGGGATTACTGGCTAAAAAGCAGTGTATGAGCCTCTTTTAAGGATTACAGGACAGGATTGAGACTGGTGCAGTTGGAGGACTGTAGGTAACAGAAGATGAAAAAGCTGTTGACTTTCTGACATTCTTAAATTCCGCAGCATAGTAAACTACCCTGATGGCTAAAATGGTAATTCTTCAAAAAACTCAGGCTGTTTTAGCCTTGATAAATCAAATAAGCACCCTTCTGATATCAAAATGGGAAGATACATTTTTAGCAACTGTACTTTTGTTTGCTAAAGTAAATTCCAGAGTATGATACCACTAATGCTCATTGGGAGTTTAGATGATGGACTAGAGAGAGAGAGAGAAGAGGAAAAAAAATAGAAACCTAAAATACTAAAGTTACTGTCATGCAAAAAAAAAAAAAAAAAATCTGAGAGAATTCATAATGCTCCATGAAACAAGTTACTAATTAATTTTAATAAACACTTTCAAAAACAAAACAAAGGAGTATAGAATTAAAAAGGAGACCAATCTCAACTGAATCTGTCAAATCAACATTGTTGAAAACACAAGGAAGGCAGCAAGAAGTTCCAGCTAAAGAGTGGCAGAACCAATGWGAGGGTTTTCTCACATTTATTCTCAAACATATTGACATTAGAAAAAAAAGTAATTTCTGGGTTCTAGACATAACTAAAACCAAGAACTTCTGAAATATTTGAATCAGAGAGTTCTGTATCTAGTCAAAACAATAGATATGAAGTCATTATAGCTTCAAACCAAAGCTATTCCGGCAAATGTTTTGCAGTGTGGGTGTTGGAACAACTGTTCTTATTTTGGCTATCAAAAACACTGAATAAATAAATGATATAGAACTAGAGARATCTGCATTTTGAGATCTAGCCAGAAGCTGCCAGAATCCATTACCATGTGAGAACTGCCTAGCGGTGACCTTATATTAGTTAAAGTATTGAGCCCTCTCATCTACAAATCTCTACCTTATCAACTCCTCTGTTCCTCAGGCTCTAATAGGCAACTGCGTSTGAAATGTTTATTACTGCTACACTCCTACCTCAACATTTTTTTTATAATTAATATTCTACTGTTAAAAAAAAMAAAAAAACAACTTGCATTGTTAGGGACCACACATTGCATATTAATGTGTCTTTCCAATTTTGTCCAATATGTCAACATCTTGTACTAGGATGCCGAAGGGAGAAGAGAGGATGTTCGTAACTGCTATCATTTTTTCCCTTGCTTCTCCCTACTTTTTCATGTGGACAAGAATTCCTGTTCATGAAAAGAAAACTTCTACTTCAGACATTGCATCAGATAGAAGGATCTGCATGGACAGGCACTGGATTTGCTTTCTTTGCCCAGTGATTTCTGTAGACCAAACTCCTGATTAAATTCTCAGAAAATCACTACAGAAAATGAGAAATAGTCTTTACTTTGTTTTCCAGTCCTTCTGACTCCAYGTGTCTCGCACAAGCACAATCACCTATAGCAACAGGGAAAGTAAAGCTCTTTGCCAATTAATCCTGCTTCTGGACACTGCTGGTATTAGTCGAATGACTTTAATAGTCATTCCTCTCGACTTGTGTAGTCAAACTACACAAGTGAAGTAATATTTCTCTTAGAGAAAAAAAAAGCATGAATTTTGGATGAACTTCAGATCAGGAAACATACTGGAAAATATTTTATACTCTGTTATTGCAAGTGTTAAAAATGTTCAATTCTTCCACGAAGATGCAACTAAAATGTAAAAAATGAGCAGCTGACAGCACAGAGATTTTGACCTTTAAAATCTGAACCTTTGACAAGTACAATATCTAATGCATGAAAATTACGTATTAATTACACACTACCCTGGTAAACACTGTTAATACATACACATCCTATCTCTATTTTCTAWCTATATGTGTAATTTATGTAAGTTTCTTTTACAAATTCACACCTCTCTTCTGATTCCAGTCATGGGCATCCCCAAGGTGAGCAGCATTATACGTATATCCATCTTCCTGACGAAAATAATCATCGGTGCTGAGTACGATCCCATCACAATCTTGGCTGAGCAGCAAACTGTTAAACAAAGGAGAATGCAGAAACATTACAACCTTATCCTTTCAGAGAGGGAAAAGAAACACAGAGGAAAAGAGTAAGGTAAAAAATATCCTTTTGAGCTATTGCAAAATTCAAACTAGCTTATAAAAGAACACATATGTATTTCCAAGAAATCCAATTCAAATTAAAGCAGTATGTTTCCCATTCCAGGGATATTTAAYTCATTTGATAACATTTTCCATATTATTTCTCACTTATATCCAGAAACCAATATGATCCCASGGAATTCCAATGCAGCTGAATTGGATCTTTAAATATTGGATCTTTAGCACCTTAAAACTCTAAACATGTCCTCTGCTGACCTTTTCTATGCTATGCTCACAAGAGAGGTCCAGCAGGCACAGGAAAATATAAACCTAGCAGTATTTTGTGTCAGTTCCTCTACTGTCAGAAAACAAAAGTCCAAAATTACAACAACCTTTCAAGCCAATCCTGCTGAGGAAAGCCAAGATTACTGAAAAGCACACATATTCCTTCAAGATCCTGTTTTCTTCTGTTGCAATTCAATGTCTTCTAGCCCAGTCCCACCCTTAGTGTTTCACGATCCCTTTCTCATCAGCACTGGCTCTCACTGGATCTCTAAGCCACTGGAATTCACTACCCAGAAACCGCTCCTTTCCCCCCCGCCTCGGACTCCTGGGTTACTTTTTAGAAACTTCAGCAAGTTGACTCTTTAAGGAAAGAGCCAAAAATACAAGGGAAGAGTCTAATGACAATAGAGAYCAACCTCAACTTGAGTAGCACTGAGCATTTGTTAACACATCTACTAAAGCTGTAATTTCAGTAACAGATGAAAAAAATAAAAAAGGTTATATTCATAGCTTAATTTCTCTTAAGGAATTAAACTGACTTAACCTGCCACTCCACTTTGAATATAGTGATAAGAAAAAGAGGGTTTTTTTTTTTTTTTAATTGTTCCATATATATCCTCAGATGAGTAGAAAGACAATCACTTGTTGATGATAGCATTTATCATGCTCCAGGTAAAAGTGCAAAGCTTTAATAATGTGGCAATTAGGAAACGTAAGCTTTCTTTATTAGTTGTTGCCCATCTTAAAAATAAATTTATTATACTAATTCTCAAATGGGTTAGCCTGGCTTCCCAAGGAAATGTCATTTCACGGCAACTTCTGGACATACAGAATAACTGCTAACAAATTCTCTCAGAAGGATATCCTCTCAAAAATTATGAGTTTTGTGGGGGCAAAACAAACCATCCTCCTTGTCCTTGGCAACTGGGGTTTGAAGAAAAACCCTGTGAGACTATGGYGATGTCACCGCTGTAGTAGATCAGATTTTAAACAATCCCGTGCCAACCCTGACTTTATTTTCTACCATATATTTAAATATGTAAGTAGGAAACAGATTGCCAGGGCCTAAGTGCATTAGCAGCCTATWGCAAAGCTCCCATTGCTCTGCCCTACAGAAGTTTAAGTAACTAYTCCAACTCAGAAATAGCCAATGCACCCAGAGGCTATAAAAGCTAAACACTATGAGCACGTGGGAYGTACTAATGCTGAGGCAGCAGAAATGGAAGAGAGTCGGCCAAAACTCAAATAACCCAAGGGCACAGAACTGTTAGCTCTAAATTACCACASCTACCCATACACATCTGGGGAAGAGCTACTTAGGTTGAATCCCAGCAGAAAGAATATGTTATTTTTTGCTACCTGTCATCAGTAATACTTCTGGATGCGTAATTGTCAATGGTCTAATGTAACAAGTCACCAAGCTATAGCCTTTTATTTAAAACTCAACTAGAAAAAGAAGTCACCATCAACTTTTAACGTGTTAATAAAAACAATAAAAAATCCACTATATTGCATATTAATTCACATTAATTCTCCCACTTGGCCGTTACTTCTGGTTTTAAAACACAGATCTGTATCAACAAATAAAGAGTCCTGAAAACAAAAATAAAYTACAAAAGTTGCAACTCCCAAAGCTGTGTACATTTTTTTCCTTCTTGCTCTCTCCCTCTTTTCCAAGGCCTTCTTTAGCAAGACATGTATAGTGTTGCTATAGGACTGTATACCAGTGTGTYGTGTAGTATAGGACAACATGTAGGACAGCACAGAATTCATTCATTCATTCTTTTTAAGCAAATAAATGGCACCAGTGTCACAAAATACAATCACGTGTCATACTCATGTATGATACATTAAATTGACTGATCGGATATCAGGAACATTTCTCTCCTGCTGGAGAGCAGCCCCGCAGAGAGGGACCTCGGTGTCATGGTGGATGACAAGATGACCATGAGGCAGCAGTGTGCCCTGGTGGCCAAGAAGGCCAACGGGATCCTGGGGTGCATTATGAAGAGCGTCTCTAGCAGATCGAGACAGGTGATCATCCCCCTATACACAGCCCTGGTGCGGCCACATCTGGAGCACTGCGTCCAGTTCTGGGCTCCCCAGGACAAGAGGGATGTGGAGCTGCTGGAGAGAGTCCAGCGCAGGGCTACCAGGATGATCAGAGGCCTGGAACATCTGCCMTRTGAGCAAAGGCTGAGRGAGCTGGGCCTGTTCAGCCTGGAGAAGAGGAGGCTGAGGGGGGACCTGATCAGCGTGTATAAATACCTCAAGGGAGGCAGTGAGGAGGAGGGGGCGGCCTCTTTTCAGTGGTGGCCAGAGATAGGACTAGAGGAAATGGCCACAAGCTGAGGCACCAAAAGTTCCACAGGAACTTGAGAAAACACTTCTTGACAGTGAGGGTGACAGAGCCCTGGAACAGGCTGCCCAGAGAGGTTGTGGAGTCTCCTYCTTTGGGGATCTTGAAAACCCCCTTGGACGCAGCCCTGTGCCATGTGCTCAGGTGACCCTGCGTGAGCACGGGGGTTGGACTAGGTGACCTCTGAGGTCCCTTCCAACCTTAAGCATTCTATGATTSTATGATTTCAGGACCTGATCTTAGCTTTTACAACAGTCTACATTTGCCACTTAATAATACTAGAAAAAATAGATTTGCCTTCTATACTCACTTCTGTGCTGAATGTGTATGTGTAAATACTAAATAATAAGAATTAACCTCTCTTAATARAAGAGACAGCAAATAATTTTTCATCTCACCATATCAACACCCCTACAGCTCCTAGGAGCCAGGCTGACCTAAGATTTTCACAGGGATATATGTGAACCAATGAGTCACCAGTAACTACTGCTGCATTAGTCTTTACTGATATTTATATAACTGACTTGTTTCTCAGTGCTTTGTGGCACTCAAGTTCTTCTGCCGTATTTTCCAAGCGTTAATATTTTCAAGAAAAACAACTGTAAAGGTCTGGAAATCCTGMAAATACACAAACATTTTATATCTTGACATATTTTATCACTATTCCTCAAAGTTTAGGATGAACCACTGTTTATATCAAATTCTATAACTGATGTAACAGAAGTAATACTAAAGAACATTTTCAAGAATGGTCTTTAAATTGTGCAATTAGGAGAGACAAAGTGATTCCCAAATAGACAACTGGAACAGTCTTTCCAACAGACACAACATACACAAAGTAATGATAACTAAYGAGATAATAAACTGAAGCTTCAACTTCAGCTTCAATAGCAACGTTCATAGCTTGCTTTGTAACTGTGAACTTATACCATAAAATAAGTTTTAAAGCCTGATTATCTTTTAGAATTAATAGTATTTTAACCTGTAAAATTAAAGCACACATACTTGTCAACTTCATACAGAATGATGYGGACAATTATAATTAATCTGTTATAAAAGCAAAAAGATTCTCAAACTCCTTTATTAAATAATATATAATAATATAATATAAATARAAGACTAATATAAAAAAGAAGAGACAGACCATCCCATACTTGAGTACGGGCACTTGAGAGTTTCAGAAGATTGAGAGATTATGCAACTTCATGGACAGTTAACATTTTAAAAAAAGCATAAAACAACTCCTATTTATCAAAATTCTTATTGAGACAAAACCCCCAAATCTAATGTATTCAGTCCTTTCTATTATACCACTCACTAAGTCACAGTATCTTTTTAATAAGATAGTTTACTAATATCAACATTTGCTAAGTGCTTACAAATAAACTTCTTAAAAAAACAGCTTTCAAAAATTCACACTTTTTGAAAATTCACATCTTTACTCACCGAGATAGTGTTGATTTCCCTGAACCAGGGAGACCTCTTAAAAGCAGGAGCAATTTCTGTGAACTACGTAGCTTTTCCTTGGGTGCCTTCAGGAAAGGAAAGCTGGGCATTCCATCTGCATGGTAGTTTTTAGGATCTTTCCAACACTCTTCTCTGGTTTCACAGAAACCACTATTTTGCGGTACATTCTGGTCAATATTTCCATTTCTGGATTCCTGAGCACTACGGATATCAATATGACCAACACGGCCGGCACCCTGATCAGGGAATGGACCATGCCAATCGATATCATTGTTTCCATGGTAACCATGATAATTTTTGTAAGAAAGTTCTTCATTATGAGAYGGGAAAGCACTTGTTTTTCGTGGTGGGGAATTAAGTATTTGAAAGTGTGACTGATGGTTGAATCTAGGAGGCAGAGGAGGAAGAGGTCCCTGAGGTACTATGAAAGATTCTGTTGTCTGCCAGGCGGGTCTGAATTCAGGCACTGAGCTKTTCCAAAACTTCGAATCTACTTGTCCATTAAAGGCATTTTCAGTTTTCCAGAGACTTGTTTCCCTGTCAAGCTGCTGCTCAGTACTTGCTTCCTGATCCTTCTGTTSCCCAGAGAAACCGTGTCCGTTCTCATAAAAGGGTTGTGGGCTGCCCAGCAATGTCTGCTGAGAATCCTCATGTGATGTTTGACTGCAATTCAACGGAGAACATTGTTCTGGAGAAGATTTGGTTTCTTCTTCCTGAGGGTTACTCTCCAAACTGTCCTTTTCAAGCTGTTCAATTTCTTTRTAAAACTGGCACAGCTCATCATCCATTAGAGCAGCAGCAGCAACCTGTGTTCTCTTTGCGTTCCTTTTTGCTTTGGTTTCACACACCTCATTCTCATCTCTCCCTTTACCTTCACTGCAATTCTGAGGTTTGTCCTGTTTGTTACTTTCAGTGGGCTTGTAAATCGGTCCAATAAATTCTTTGCTTGTAAAAAACTCTTCATTGGATTCATTTCCATTCATCAAGAACATTTTACTGACATTTTTACTACTTTCATCAACACCTGTAATAAAGGGGCCTTGCTTATCGTCAACTTTAACACCATCTCCTTGTACAAATGGATGATTTGTATTCTGCCCAACCTCAGGATCAGCTGGCTGACTAAGCACTAGGGTTTTCTCAGGAAACACTTCATCCAGCGTTGTCAAGACACCTGTAGATACTTTCTCTTCCTTCTGCATTTCATGCTCTGCTTGGCTATCTGAGAGATACCTCGAGGCCAAATCACCAGATGTTCTTTCAGCCTCCACTTTCTGTTGGCAACTTTGGTAATCATCATTACAGAGTTTCTCATAAGCCTCTTCTGTTGACTTCATTTTTTTAGAACGTGGCTCAATTGTGATTTCATCCTGACAATCCAACAGTCTTATTCTACATTCAGCATGAAGCATCTTATAAGAAGAAAAAAAATAAAATTATCAGCACACACATCTTTAAGGAAAGGTTTAAAAAAAAAAATGTATTCAGGCTTACAATATCCTCAGACTTCCTACTGCCACAAGTGGAACATACTCTGCCAAAAATAGACTCTGACATTGCCTATGGTCAATTTTTATGCAAACCTGTTGTTGTATATACAATAGTGCACCATGGGAACACTTTAGTTTTGTACTTGCCTGGTAATTGCATTTTATGATAAATCCCAAATAATTTACAAATTATTCTAGTTAAATGTGAATTTAATATGTGAAAAAAAACATCAGCTCAACAATCTTTGTTCTCCACTTACAGAGAGTCCAATGCCTGCACTGGCCATCCACTTGCACTAACCTGTGCCAACCTGTAAGTGTATTAAGTCTGCTTTATAGGAATAAATCTATGCCAATTTCAATACACAAGCTAATGCCTGGCATCCCTACAAAGACTAGCAACAAAAGTGCCCATGCTTAAATCACTAGGGTTCTTTACTGTAACAGAAACTGTACTCAGATAATTCATTTAACACCAAACAGGTGCTGGTTTGCATTTATAATTTGGTATAAATGGTATAGTAAAATAAGACTTAAAATTAAACACATAATCTGTTATTAGGTACCTTTATCAGGAGGACAAGTAAGGACCATCATCAGGGGATCAATATCTACACGTGTCTTACGAGAATACACACTAAAAGGCAATTCCTGCCCCAAAGAGCTTATGTTTTAAGATCAAGCCAACAAGCAGTCAAAATATGCAGACAGAAGGGGTGAGAAATAAAAAATAAATTGCAAGGTAGTGCTGCTGGTTATAACAGGACAAGCAGTCAAACCATAATTCATTATTCATCTCTTTAAGTAACAGTTAGAATTAGTTGTATTTTCTTTGCATTACAGGGGTCTAAACAGACTGCTCCAGAGTAGCTGAAAGTTTCACACAATCCTCATTCTGGATATGGAATTAATCATTTTCAGTTAAAGAAAAGACTTTGTAGGCAATGTTTATCATCTAGTGTTTTCCTGCAAAACTAACAAGATAAGGTCTTACTTTCAGGCAACTTCTCACCTCTTACCCACGGGAAGGGGAAAAAAAAAAAAAAAGAGAGAGAATTCTTCACATCTCTAACCAGATGAGGAGATGTTGCTGTTTGTCTTTACTATTTCAGAGACATTACTGCCAGAAAAGGGAGAAATATGGCCATGCACCTTCTCCTCTTCTACAGGACAGTGCTAGGGGTACTATAGTATCTCCTCCTCTCAGGATGTAAGTGCTGTTTTCTGCATACCTCCAGCTCCCCAGTTGCTCCTTACTGCAAATGAGAAAGCCAATACAACATTTTACCTATTGAGGACTCTAACTCACAGCTCCCCAGAAACATTACTCCACCCACACTCAAAACCAGGACTGGATAAAGGATGAGATGCTTTATAAGTTTCTATCCTTACCTTCCTCCTGGAAAAGAGTTTGAGAGAAGCAGTGTTTTTATGTACAATGAGAGGGAAAAAAAAAGTTTGTGAACACACTGCATGAAAATTAAGGATGAGATGATACTGCTCTGAACACCTCACACACCAATATCACTTCTAGTTCATGTGAGATATCCTGGGACATAGAGAGGCAGCACATGACAGCAGCTCCAGTCCCAGGGAGGGCAGAAAGGGGAGTCYCCCTTCCACCTGTCAGATAAAGCAAGCACAAACTGAGGAAGCACAACCTGTAGAAGACCCTCTCACCTCTGAGATAAGATAAACGCAGGGCTGCCGTATTTCTATAAAGAACTGTCTGTGAACATTGACCTGCATAAGATTCGCTTGCCTGGGGCCTGCAATCGCAAGGTACCCCTTTAACTAGGCTGAGAAGCTACTAAGGCAAGTTGACTCATGCCGTTAGGCTCTATCTAGACAAAACAAAGCATCCACCAGAAGAGGGATGAGCTCACCACTCTGAGCTCGGCTGAATGCAGAAGGACAGCGCAGCTCCCTCTGGGCAGGGAAGCGGCAGAGCACAGGCCAGGAGCCCAGGCCGCAGCCGCCCTACCGGTACCCAAGCCCCGTACAAAAACGCCCGGCCCTCCTGGTATCTCCCGCCGCGCCGGGGAGGGAGGAACCCACCTCAGAGCGAAGCCGCCGGCCCCTGCTCCGCCGCCCCGGCCTCGGCGAGCGGCGCGGGGCCGCCCGGGGGAGGGGAACGCGAGCAACCCCTCAATCTCAAAATGGCGCCGCCTCCCTGCACCCCCGCCGCTCCCGGCGCTTATGGGGCTTGTAGTTCCGCCCCGCCGCGCCGCGGACTACAACTCCCAGCGTCCCTCGGGCGCTGGGCGTGGGGAGGGGGCGTTACGGCCGTTGGGAAGGGGCCATGAAGGGAGGGCACGTTAGGGGTTGGCTGAGGTCGGGTGTCTTATTTCAGTAAAATAAATGTGTGTTTGGGTTTTTTTCTCTCTTCTTTTCCCCCTTTAAGCGAGTATTAAAACATTTCCYGTTTTGGTGAAAGAAAAAATATGGGATACTGGAAGCATGGGACACCTTYTCATTTTTATTTTTATCCTTATTTTTTTTTTTCTTCACTCTGCTGCTTAGCACCACTGCTATGCGTGCATCATATTTCAAYGGTTGTTACGGTCTTTCATAAAACTGCTGTTACTGGTTATTCGAAATAATAAACTAGGTAGGCAAGAATATTTGGCCAAGAAATTAGGCGTGTCATTGTTAATTATTATTAATTTGAATACTTTTTTTCTTTAACCAGTTAAATCTTCTCCCCTAGTGGTTTGCAGGTATCCCTTGCTAGATTAATTTGAACTATTGTGTTACTTAAACTATTTTTTCGTAGGATTTTGAGACTCATTTCGTTCTCAGAGGTACTCTGGCTTTGGTGGTGGTGATACTGTTTTAATCTTACTTCAAAGTGCAGGTTTTCATGAAGGAACTGAATTTTGTAATCTTAGTTTCCTGTCCAATTTCCTGTGACATTTTTAGATTTCTCTGAATAAACTAACAAATGGTGATGAAAAGCACATCCGTGTCACATTAATGCTGCTCCACAGGCACATAAATGCGGTGGATTCTTAAAAGTTTTTTAGCCTTAATTAAAAAAAAAACTCACTATGAAAATTTACTGCTTTTTTTCTGTTATGCTAATGCTGTCAAGATACAATAACAAAGAATTACTTTAGCAACATGAGGTTATCTCCAAGGTAAAAGCTTTCCGTGCTTCACAGGTATGTATTATACTTCTTTCAAGAACTTGCAGCATTTCCCAGTTGTGTATTTTTCATGCTATGATTACATCGCTTTTCAAATCATACACAACTATGCAATGCAAAACACATTTTCCAAAGAGAGTAGTTTCTTAGCTTTACAATAGTGCACACAAGAGCCATAAGTAATGTGCCCATTCTAAATRTTTGCAACATTATGCTATTGTGTTACCTGAACAAAATACAAATTTTTGAAATGGTCGTATTTGYTAAGGATAAAGTCCCTGAAATTACCTTATTTGCTACATAAGTTAAAATGTTGGGAAATCCAAAATGTTGGGAAATCCGACAGTGTGGCATTCCTTTCAATTACCCCAGAGATCAAAACATAATCTCCTTTCCTGTGCCAGGTCATGGRTTTCTTTTGTTAGAAGCTGTGGATACATATTTGATAGCAATTTAATTAAGATCAGAGGTCTACCTCTGATTGTTGCCTCTGGTTTGCACTGCAGAGCAGTGTCRCGGTCCCAGGTTCCGTGCAGGGGCATAAAGTCAGAAGGTCCATTGACAGGGTGCGTTTCAACTACTAGTGTTAATTGGTGTTCAATCAGATTAATGCTAGTCTGATTTAAAAACTCATAAAAATTATAAAATATGAAAGTCACARTCTTAGTTTCAAACATTTCTCAATATGGACTTGTTCCTGTGATGCTGCACTAGCCACTGATGTAGACTTTCACATCACAACCAGACATGTGAAATGCAAATGCATCTGCTGAGGAACAAGGATGACATGATACCTCTACTGTCTTCCAGACTGGAGAAACAAGGTGTCATTTCCCTGGGAAATGGAAAAAAAATCCATAGCCCTTTCTGAGCCTTTAGGGCCAGTCCACAATGAAACAATTTCTAAAGTGAGTTTGAAGAAAAGAGAAATTCAGCAGAATGAAYTTGCCATTTCTACCACGAGACTTCCTTTCAAGAAGGAAAATAGGAATTGTCATAAAGAATTGACCTTTGCCACTGAGAAAAATGTAGAAATAAAGAAGCAAAATATACAAAGGAAAATGTTATTGCAGGGTCATGGAATATTTTTACCACAGGTATTTTTAGAAATGCGAGGGGTTATATCACTTCATTCTTCTTCCCTTTTTTTTTTTTTAAGAGATTATCTAAAAATAATGGGGCTACCCCTTAATTTTAAGGGGTAAAAAAAAAGACGCAAAATATGTGAGAAGATTTTGCAACCAAGCATTCTTGATTTCCTAGGGAATTATTTTCTAATATAAATACTGTTGATTATTTAGCTCAAAGGAAAAAGTCGCTTTCATCATTATGTGCTTCCCTACACAAGCTAGAGCACAAAACATCCAATTTAAGCATTTAGATAGGATAAGAGTGTGCTGCATTTGGACATTTTGAAGCTAGTTTCTGGAGATGGAAGTTCTGACGCACTTCATGTTGCATAACTAGCAATTGTCTCAAATGTATTTCATTTGGGGAATTCTCACAGTACCCATGTATCTAATTAAATGAGCCAYGTTATAATTGGGAATGCCCTAATGACATTTTTTTTTAAACCTTGGTGAGTGTAATAAAATGTGCTTTCGCTTACCAATATTACTACAGCTGGTAGCAATATGATGCCATATGGGAAGAAGTTGTGCCCTTTTCAGACAAAGGTACAATATTCCTTTGGGATCTTAAGACTTCAGTGGATGACAAAAGAAATCGAAGTATCATCAGGAGAATCTCATCAGTAGATAAAAGATTAAAAAAAATAAAAAAAGATTAAAAAAATAAAAAGAGATAAAAGGTCAAAGAGCTAACAAAAATATTTGCAATGAAGTATTAAGAATTTATGAGTTTTCTTTGTGCACAGAAGAGTCTGAAGCTTTTTACAATTTCATTAAAATAATTATAAATTTATTTAGAACTCTATAATTCACTATTTATAATTTTTACTATATGTTATCTAGATCAAGCTTCCTGTAGCATATCCTGTAGCATCTATGGTATTGGTGGAAACCTCAGCAGAATCAAAACCATAATGAATGTAGTAGTATTTTTGCCTTGGTAACAAATTACAGAAAATTACCTTTTTATTCTTGTGTTCCGTGGCATTTATGTTATCCCTTTAGTACTGGTGGATGAAATGGTGGCTTTATTTGATCTAAGAAAAGAGTGAAGGAAAAACTTTTCAGTTTATATAATCAGATTTTGATTCAGTTAAGGGCCCTTGCGGGCTGGGTGGACTGCAACAATATAGATAGCATCAGAATTTGTGTGCATACAGGAAGTGAATAAAGATCTGTGGAAAAACAATAGTTCTGACATAACTGAAATATTTGATTTCACAAAAGTAGTGTTTTGTTAAAGTAATTTTTGTATTTAATTGCCTTATGTTAAAAAGATACTCCTGATTTTGGAGGATCATCCTGATCTCCTGATGGTTTTTCAGTGGTTTACGAGTGCAGTTAAAGCTGCAGATCCGTGGCACGGACCGYTTCACTCTGTCACCTCACGCTAGTAGTTACCAGCCAGCACGATGCTGCACCACAGGCTGCTGTCCCCACGTGCAATCGCTGCTGTTGCTCCGCTCCAGCATTTCCTCTGCTGCTCTTCCTCCGGGTGATTTTGTTTTCTGCCTCACCCCAATTATTACTTAACCCCTCATGTCATGTTATCACTTCCAGACACTTCTAATGCCCTTCCAGTGTAGTTTCAGAAGACTGAAATTCAATGGAGCACTTAAAATGGAGAACTTAAAAGAAGTTGCTGAAGAAGTTGCTGGAATGATTTTTAAAAAAAAAAGTGTCAAGAGAAGGGGCATCAGGGCAACTAAACACACCCAGCATTTTATGCAGAAGAATATATTTAGTTTTTTATTATTAAAATACTATTCACTCTTTAAATAGATGAAGGGAAGAAACAGGGAATTAAATAGATGATGAAATAATAAAGGGTAATTTATGGTTTTTTATTATTTAACATAAATTATTTATGATTAAATTCATCATTAAATAATGATGAAATAATAATGGGTAATTACATGTTGCACTAAGGACAATGTTGGTGTCCTCACTGATTTGTAGAATGCTTGCTTATTTTTGTCACCTGAAATTACTTTTATTTGAAGTTAACTGAAATTGTCACCTTGCAGATGCAACTTATGATAAAAACATTTACCTGTTCGATATTTTGCCATTTTTTTCACACAAACAGCTTTGCTGTAGTATATGTTCTATATATACTCTTCTCTCCCACATTTCATCCTACATCTCMATTAAGGATGGAAAACATTTAAATCAATTAAAGGTAACTCAAAGGAGAAACTAATTTAATTCACTGACTGAATCAGCTAACCACCAGAGGAAGAAAGGCTGCTTGCACAGATTCCCCAAATACTAATCCTCCACTGCCACACCAGTCAGCAAGGCGGTAAGAGAGGGACCATTTTTTCCCGACTATTACAACATTTTAGCTACCGGCTGCCATGAGTTACGTCAGTGTCACATGAAGACACGCACAGTGCAAATAGCTGGAGGGTCAGTGGGCCACTCTAGTAGTTMCCTCCAGAGATGGTGGAAAGACAATTCCCTGACATTTGGTAAGGAAACAGTTGTGAAGTCAGATTCAAATTGAATCAAAACAAACAGACACCCCATCTTTTCCTTTTATTAAGAAACAACCACAAGACAGACACAGATACGTATTTTCAATAATGTCAGGGCAGTTAGCACTAATATTTCAGTGCTGCTTATTAAACTTCAATATTATTACTATACATATATTAAAGTTACTGGCTTCTGAGCACCACAGTTGTATTCAACTTTTTGACTCCTGTTTACGGGAAGAGAGTGTYGGAAACAGAACTTACAGGCACAATTAAGAGTCTAGCAGTTCCGTTCACTTTAAGTCACAGTTTCAGTCATCTAGTWCAAGATCCAGCAGCAATGAATGAGCTACTTTCTCAGTTGCTGTGACGAATCACTACACCAGCAAGTAGAAGATGTGAATTGGCACTATCTCCCTCTCCTAGTTGTCAAAAACACTACTGGTGTGAAGGACTTAATAAATAAATGACATTTGATTTCTTTTTCTAGGAAAATAGTTTTTGATTAAATGGTTGAAGTAAGCACCATAATTAAACAAGAGAAATAAATAAAAGGGAAAGATGACTACATCTGTGCTGGAAATGAATGTATCGTTTTCACAGACCTGCTACATTCAGCCAGGAAATTTGGATAAGCAAGGTAAAACTTCATCCAAAGACCACTGATTTCTTAAATTTATGATACATTTGTTTTTAGATGTATGTTCCACTTTTTTTCCTCTAAACTAGATACAAGAAAACAAAAGAAACTTYAGAATTCTGTTGAGTGATTTTGATTTCTCTCGGGTCTTGTTAGAAATGTAACTGATAATTTGGCCTCAAATCATAGACACATCAGTTGTTGCTGTYGTACTATTTGATTGTGTTGCTGTTGGTATTTGAGCTGGCCCTTTCTCTGACTTGATCTCTGGTGATGACCATATGGAGGAATTTGCTCAAGTTATTCTAAAGCCACATAATACTCATCTATTGTCAGCCAAACTGACATTACAACTTACAACTTACTGCTTTTGAAAGCAGGAGGTCTCATGTAGTTGCTCCGTTCTTCCTTCCCTAGTTCACCCCTGTGTGAGCTGACTGAGCTTGTTAGCTGCTCAAGAGTTTTATGATCGGGTGAAGTATCTGTTTCTCCTGAAAAGAAGATTTTACTCTCTCCACTCAGCTTATTCTCTCGCTCTGCCTGGGAAGGGTGCTGTAAGGCAATTGCGACATTTACCTGTGGTGAATGAGTAGGGATTGCTAAGGTCTGCAAAGTTGAGTTATTGTATGACCCAGGCTCCTTCCCAGCACTTTCATGCCACTGTGCGATAGATACTTCTAGTGTTTGAAAGTCTGTGATATTTCTCACCTGCCAGCTTGCCCCTGGTGTATATATATATATATATATATATTTATTTATTTTCTTTTGTAAAACGCTATTTCTGGTACAAATTTCAATGAGGAGACTCTGGGTTTTGTACTTGGGAGCAAGATCCTGCCTCCAAGTATAAGAACTCCAAGCTGGGATCTTGTTCCGTGTCAGAGCAGCTTAAAGTACTTAAAGATAGTCCAATTAAAGCTCTTACACACTCAGAGGGACTAAAAATGCAGAACTGTTGCATGAAGAAGGTAAAGAGAAGAATAGCTAACATGATTAAGAGGATATATTGACTACATTACAAGCAGAGCCCAAAGGACTGAGAGGACAAGCCTCAGGCATATGATGAAATTTTGCAAATCATGAAAGCACTAGTAAAAATGAATGCAAAAATGTTGACATACAGAAAAACTGAGATGCAGACACTTTTGTGAGAGGAGTGCTTTTCTCAAGGATGCTCACTGTCCCTTGGACATAGAGATGTGAACAGCATCTCCAATTCAGTGTCAACCTTTTGTTCTTCATAATCCGACTTTCTTTGCATGTGATATGGTAAGCAAAGCATTAATCGATTTTTTACATATATATTGTGATTTTTTCTTAAGATKATACACTTTTTGGTAAATAACTTCTATTCTTACTTTTGCCTGTATTTCTAGAAGGCAGAACTATGGCCTAGTCTGCTTACAGCCACCCAGGCCCTGCRAGATGTGACATTTCTTAGGCAAGGCGCTGAGTTCACCTATAAATCGCTCAGCACCGTCCTTCTCTTTCGGACTGAACCAGGAAGGCGCTGGCTGCTTGCGGCTCCCCACACAGCAGCGCCAGAACCTCCCCGAGCGTTTCCCGCAGAAACTCCGCTGGAACTCGCCCATGGCGACAAACGCGGTGGAGAAAGGAGCGTTTTGGCTCTGAGCTCACAGCCCGGCCGGGYGCCGCGGCTGCTCCATGCTGCCTCCTGCAGCCGCGCGCCGGCGGCGCTGACCGTTGCGCGCCCCCTCCCTCCGCGCGCCAACGGCCGCGAGCAACGGTCGCCAGTAACGGCCGCCAGCAACGGCCGCGCCGCTCCCCGCGCGGGCTCGGTGCCGCCGCKGGCGGAGGCGGCTGGAAGCGCAGCCGCGGCTCTCGCCTCGCCAGGGGAAGCGCCGAGGGAGGGCTCCCTCGTGAGGGCTGCGAGCCCTATTGCCGCAGCGAGCCGAGCCCGGCAGTCACCGTCCCCGCTACCCGTGCATGTGTGTTTCGACCGCATCAAGAGGGGGTGAAGGAAGAAAGGCTTCTAAAAAGCCGGCCTCCGAAATCTTCAAGAGACCAGCTCCAGGCATGAAAGGAAGGCCAGGCACGGCTGGGGAGCTGGCCTGCGGCTGCCCTCTTAGCCRGGCACTTCACCTTATTTCACTTGCACATCATCCCTTGGCATCCTGAGGGCAGGCGAAAGTGGTCAGTGCTACCATGGCTTGTTCCGYGGGTAAAGGGGAGCAAAAGATGAGCATACTTGCACACGCAGCACGGCAACACAATAGCTATTTTCACAGTTACACATGCAGTTTTGCAACTTCAATAGCTATATGAATATTCTGCTTTTCTACTGTTTTGCACATATCACTGTATACATATGCAAGTGCACCATTAAAAAAAAAGTAGTCTATGACTTAAGAGTTGRTATCCAGGTAAGCCAGCACAATTTGAGGACTGTGGGAAAACTGTTCAACTTCCGTGGAAGAAAAAAAAAACCCAAAACCCAAAAACCTCCTTGGCTGCATGTGCAGGATCCTTCCTAGTAATAATCAGAAATTGCTAGACAAAATATTTTCCAGTTTTATGCATGTGCAGTAGTAGTTCTGCTTTCAAGAAGAGCAGGATGAACAATTCACTCTCAGAAATATAGAAAAGGGTAGTTTGGGGCCTGAAAACTCATTTCTATAACTCATTTCTATATAATAGTTTTTGCATTTTATCCCAATAGGACAGATGTAAATTTGATTAAATGAGATTTTTGGACTGAGCTTAGAAGTTGAAGATAGCAAAGCAAGCTGATTTCAATGTGCTAGTGAAAGTTTGAGGAAGTTATTTGAAGATTTAAAATAATGAGTTCTAACATCTTGACTAACATGCTTTAAAAAAAGATTATATCCAACCATGGCCCCTGCAACACACCCTGAGTGTATTTCAGCAGCTCTGCTGGGTAAATCTTCCACATTGGCAAAACCATAACCTTCAAACACATCCCTTGTCTTCCGATATCTCATTAATGGACATTATTACAAAATAGCATTTTATCTGTAAGACTGAGGGGCAATTCCATTACTTTTCTGTCCACWTTCTCCTGTGGGTGTCCCCTCAAGTTCTCAGAGTTACTGGGRCAAAACCAAAGGATGTGATCAACACTTGCTACTACTTTTTATTTATGTATTTCCTGCTTCCTCCGCCATTCCGCACCGTTACTCCTGGTTGCTTTACAGTAAGCCGGCTACAATTGTTGTAGAAATACTTGTTTTATTAACCTGCGGAGCAGCAGGCGATCGCCCCGCTCCGTGAGCGCGCGGCTGCTCCGGGCGGGAGGCGCCGCGGGGCGGGAGCGCGCGGGGCGGGAGCGCGCGGGGCGGGAGCGCGCGGGGCGGGAGCGCGCCCGCACTGGCCGCGCTCGCTCCCCTCGGCGCTGCCATTGGAGCAGCCGGAGACAAGTTGGCGCCATTTTGAAGCCGGCAGGGGGACCGGGGCGAGCTGCGGAAGGGGAGGGGGCTCGAGGCGATTGGCTGCGGCTCCGGCGGCAGCTCCTCGGCGAGCCCCGAGCGGCGGCGGCGGCGCGGAGCGGAGCGGACCCGAGCGGCGGCTGCGGCGGGGTGAGTGAGCGAGCGAGCGAGCGAGGAGCGCGGCACCGCGGCCGCCCTGGCGCGCGCCCCGCTCTGCCCGGCGGGCAGCGCCTGAGGAAGAGGAGTCGCACGGGGGGGGGGGGGAGGAAGGCAGGAGCCCTCCCCGCGGCCCGAGCCCCCTCCCATCCCCCCCGTGCCCCTTGGCGCCGCCGCTCCCCTCCCCCTTCCCCGGGGCCGGCGCCGCAAATTAAATTTGCCGCCCCCTCCCCCCCCCCCGAGCGGGGTGACCTTGGCGGGGGGCGCCCCCTGCCCCCCCATGCGCGGAGCTGGGGGGTGCTCGGCGCGGGGGAGGGGCGGCGAGGCGGCGCGGCCCCCCCTGCCCTGCCCTGCCCCGCGCCGCTCCGCTCCGGGGCTCCCGCCGCCCCCCCTTCCGCTCTGGGTCCTCGGCGGCTTTGGGGGGTGGGAGCGGGAGCGCCCCGGCCCGCCGGTCCCCCCGGCTCTTCCACGCTGGACGCGTCTCGTTATTTCCTTCTTTTTGTCAGGCTCTCTTAGGGAGCGCTCGCCAAGGGGCGGGGGGGGTGGCGGGAGAGCGCGCCTGTTAGGTGAAAAACTCAGAATTTTGCCTCTGAATTTCCCAGATGGAGAGTGGTTAATTTATAGGCTGTGTATTGTTTACGTTGAGAGCCTCTGCTCGGGAATCTAGCTCCGTAACTTCACCCCGCTGCAAATAAATCCCTGTGTGTCCCCCCAGACAAATCCACAGTGAGGGCTGGTGGGGCAGCCCCGGCCGAGCCGGCGGCGGCTCCCGCGGAGCCGCGCTTTGCTGCGCGCCCGCGCTCGGACCCGCGCCCGGAGCGCTGCGGGGCGCGCGGCTGGGGCCGCGGAACGCGCCCGTCTCGGGGCCGAGCGCGAGCGCCCAGCGGCTGCTCTTTGTTTTGCCTCCGCTTCGGAGCGTTTGGTGCCTGTGTGGGACCTCTCCTTGCTGGCCCTGGCAGGGGTGGAACGGGTGAAAATTGAGTGGCTGCAGAATGGAAAATGGGTATCGAATCCTGGGGTTGGCGAGGGGGGTGAAATGATGTGCATTCCTTCAGTTTTTCTTCCTCTTAAACCAGTGGAAGGAAACCGGTGTCTTTAGCTGATACAAATTCTGCTCGACACATCTTGCATGTAATATAGATAAGCTTTAAATATTGTATGTGCTCATACAAAGTAATACCTCCAAAAAASCTGAACCAGCCAACTTTACCTCAAGCCCAGGCCGCTTGAAGAGCGAACGGGGAGTGATGGGTGCTGGGATAAAGGCTGTTTAACTGGGCGCGTGTATCGTGTTCGTCACCTCCATCTGAAAGCGTGCACTAGTGGAGAAAGTCGTTTAGTGCTTGCGTGACATCCCGTGTCCGGGCCTGAAGTAGGGCTGCACTTGATGGTGAGGGGGATTTTTTTGCTTTATTCTTGCTCTCTTTTTGATTCTAATTATACAACTGTACTTGCCTGTTTTCTTTTTTCTGTTTGTTGGACAGACTGGATAACTCTTTTGGCAAAAAGTAAACTCCAATYTAAGTAAGTCAAACTCAAGTGGCAAATTGTACATAGGTAATGCTTGCATGTCAGATTTTTATGTTTGCTTTTAGAATTTGTCTAGCAAACTTATTTAGATTTAAATTGAGCAAATCAGCTGAATTGTTACTAAGCTGCAATTAAAAACCTGAGAAATGCCAGTAGTTGATAGCTTTTGAAAACCACGTAGTAATAAAACATGGATGTGACCTCAGGCATTATCCATTTTGAGTGTAGAGCAGGAGGCTGTGCCACCTTCTGCAGACAGAGATGCTTTTTCTGTTGGGATGGGTTACATCTCAACCAGGGATGTGTTGGGATGTGTTACATCCAACGTAACCAGGGTCCCAGGTTATATTTTTTTTTCTTTATTCCCTCTCTTTCTTTTTTCACACTACTTGGGCTGATACAGAAGAGTAAGAGGTTGCATGGCCACGTGTAGGAGTCATTCAGTAAAGGATCACCGTTTATAGGTTTTTGGAGTAGGTGTTCTCTTTGAGGGTAGCTTTGGAAGAGGTGTTACAGCTACTTGTTGCGCAGRGAGAGCTTTCAGGAGCGCAGGGTGTAAGAAAACATGAAGATGAATGATAAAAGTTTGCCAAGTAGGAAATGGGGGTAAGTGGAATGAAAGTCATGGGGAAAAATAAACAGATYTCATGTTCTTTTCCTCCACCCTTCTTTAGTATTATTTAGCCCAAATGACTGTCTTCTGCTCTCTTGATAGAAGTTTTCTTATTAGAGGAAGAAAAAAAGAAAAAGGTAGATCTGGTGGCTGGTACTGACAGGTGGCAGGGCGGTGTGTGTATGGAGCTGCTTTCAGTAAGTTTCTAAAGCAGAGGTGTTTGTGCCCGGAACGAAGGCTCTCGCTGCTGCAACCTGAAAGGCGCCCTGGAAAGACGGTGAGAACCGTAAAGGCTTTCAGTCACTTTGGGAACTAGCTGATGAGAAACACTGAGGAAAAGCGTTACTGCTGCTTTATTTATTTATTTATTTTCTTTAAAAGGATGGCATTACTGCTGCTTTATTTATTTATTTTCTTTAAAAAGGCGGTGTTAGGCAATGTCATAATCCTTGGTGGGAAAGTATTTGTGTTGATTTATCCTGATTTGTAGCATCTTCTGGACTGTAACTGGAACAGAATTGACAGATCCTGGAGGAAACTCTATTCAGACTTCTGAAGAATTGTAAAATATGTGTTTTTTTAAACAGTCTCTTCCGTGCAGGCTGAATAGCTAAAATTAAAACTGCATGTGTGTAGATAGTAACATAACAGTTGCTCTCCCATCAGTAAGTTTCTTTAGCTGAATGTAACTGCTTAGAAAGTTTATTTTCAGCTTAATTTTCATATTTATCAGAATACATTCTTTATATAGAATATATCAAAAGAAATACAATGTGTGAATGAAAATAAATCTCATTATTTTAGTAGGTTAGTAGCTTGTTTCACAGACTCCTTGGAGCAGCTTAGATTCTACAGCAGAACGAAAAAAAGTACTTGTATGAGTAATTACTTTAATACATCTAACTTGAAACAATTCCATAAAATGTGACTAATGTTTTATCATTTCATTTTTTTAAAACAAAATAATGCTTTGACTGTTTCAAAGGTTATTACTTTGTCCCTACTTCTCTGCCTATGCTGCTTTTAACCATCTCCAAAATGTGAGAAAGTATATAGTTGAAGTAGGTTTTGAAGATTAAATACTTCATTATTTTGTTCCTATCTCTGGAAATTCTTCTTTTGCATTCTATTCCAGTGATGGAAGACACTTTACAGTATTCTCCTTATTTTACGTTGAGTGATCTTCAGCTCTTTATGTCGGCTGACGACAACTTTACTGTTAACTTGCTGGAAAAGTTAATTTTAAGAAAGGAAAAGCCATACCTCACTGGGAACAGATAGACATGTTGGTACAAAACACCTTGGGTCTGTCACCGTTTACATGGTGGTACCTGGCCAGGGATCAGGACTCACCTGGGACCTTCTCATTTAGGCCCTGTTCCCTTGGAATTGATTCTAGCCAATTCTAACTCTGTGTGTGTGTGTATGTATTATCTGGCTTAGTTAGAAATCCTGGTATGTGCTTTTTCTGTCTAAATTAGACACTCTGTTTATACATTTCTTAACATTTTGACTGCTGCTTTAAAAAAAAAAGCTGTAATTGATCTCATTGTATAGTCATCTAAGCTATAGTTGGTAACTGATTTAAGGAATTTATCATTGTTCAGCTAAAGAATAATTGTTCAATCATTTTGGAAGTAAGTGCTGAGTGACGTTTGACAGCTTTTTCTGGGATGAAGATACCCCTTAGTTGCCCACAACTTCTTTTGGAGTGGCTTCTGGTTTTCTCTGAGACTTGAGATCCACATCGTACATGAAGAAACAGCCTTCTGAAAGTCTTGCAAAGAAAAGGAAAAACAATTAAACCAAAACACTTTTAACTGTAATTCTCCACTCAGAGTGCAAACATATTTATCATGAGAAAGAATTTAAAAAGTCCACTTGGAAACTTTCCCGATGCAAACTTTGCTTCACCTTGAATTTGCTCTTCATTTTTATTTGGTAGATGGGCATGTGTTTTCTGTGAAGGTCTATGGGAAGTCTTTGGTAGGGCATAGGTTGGGATTCTGTCGTTAACCAATAACAACTCTTTTCAATTCTTTTTTTAATGATAAATCAGCAGATTATTTTGTGAAAATCTTTATTTTTGTTATGGATTTTTTTCTACAAATAAATTATGAGAAAGTTTACTTGTTACGATGCAAATACAGGCAGGGGTGACATGTGGTTTACTGCTAAATATGTTACTGATTTCATTGTTTAATTGTTCAATATTAAGCATTGCACATAGTTTGGTGTAATTTTCTGTACATAGAAACAAAGTTATACTACAAAAGATACTGTCTCTTCCTGGTTTGGGGATGTGGAAGAAAGAGCGTATAAGCCAAATGATGCATTCCTAAGATCTGTGATGGAGTTTTCCAGAGAGATGGCAAATAGGAAATGTTTCCTTCCAATTTGCCCTGTTGAGATAAAGCTTTTTTGTAACTGAGGGTATAACAGCTGAGAGATCTGTCTTTTGAATGACTTTCCCAAGTTACAAATGTTGCTTGCAGTTAACTCTCCATCCTGGCTCTTACAGTGTTATAAAAGAGTAACTTCAGAGTAACATTTATTTCTTAATGGAGCATTTCCTCCATGCTTTTGTGTGTTACATTAAAAAAAGCACTCAAATTGCTAATTTCCTTAAAAAAAAATAGGAAATGCTGTTTTAATTATTTTTCCTGTCCATGTTACTCTTTAATTATGATTTATAGAAAACTTTTTCATCTTTATTTGGGGGTTAGAGCTGCAGATTGAAGATGGCTGTCAAATGCTATAAAAGCTGGAAAACATGAAATGACAAGGACTGTGGGAAGGGACATCATATCTTATGGACTGGGTGTTTGAATGCCACTTTAAAATAAAGGAA